GCGATGCTGCTGCCGCCGGTGGCGCCAGAAGACGATGATCACTTCAGCATAAAGATGCAAATAGTATAGGGACATAAAAACGCTGAATATGCCAATTTCTCATGGCAAAAACTTTACCCTTACTCGATCTTGTGTAAATCAGGTAGGCAGCCATCTCTTTGGAGCCTGGAAGGCGGCGAGAAAGATGTCACCGAATACTGGGAAAGTGGGGCACGTGACTGCGCGTCACTCCCGCTCTGCCATCTTTTGCCCCTCGTCACGTCCTGGTCCAGTCTTAGACGCACCACTTCTCTCCATCGAATATTCCACTCCAGATACCATTGATACCCAGCAAAGACTTGAAACTTTACGGAAAGATTGGCCAAGAAAGCAAACGATTCCACGGCTTTTACCTTTGGCATTTCAGTCCCGAATCCTTGTTAGTGCCAATATGCCGATCGGCATCCAGCGGCTGAATGCGAAACGTTCGCATCCAAACGACCGGATCATCTTCATCAAGCCTCTGAAAGGCCGCGATGAAAAGATTGCCCAAGATTTTCTCGAAAGGATCGCCGCACAATGTTGTAAGTGGCTCTTCTTGCTATAGAGATGGGTCTGGCTGATCAGATTTAGTACCGATCATGAAAGAGCACCACCTTTCGGTGATGTCTCTAGAGCAGTATGAGTTCAACAGAGAGTTCGTGGGCAGGAATTTCAATGCCGGTGAAATCATTCAACTAGTGCTCAAGTCGCAATCAGGACGATGGCTACCATTTGAGTACGTTCAGATGGTGATGATGCACGAGTAAGTCTGCTGCAGTGTCCCCGATGATCCATAGCTGACGGGACAAAGGCTGGCACACTGCAAGCAAATGAATCATTCTAGAGCATTCTGGGCAGTCAGAAACAATTACGCCGAGCAGATGCGAGGGCTTTGGCAGCGAGGGTACTCTGGCGAAGGCATCTGGGGTCGTGGTGCCCTGCTGGGGACGGGACAATTCCAACACAACGTCGCGCTTCCCTCTGAACCGCTTCCGGAGCACCTGTGTGGCGGCACATATCGCTCCCGTGGACGCAAGAGGAAGATCAAGCCAAAGCTTTCCTACAAGGAGCAAAAGGAGCGCCGAATCCTCAAGAAATTTGGTGCCAACGGCACCGCTCTGGGCGCTGATGAGGAGACAAAGGTCAAATTGGAAGGCGGTAAGCGCACGCTAGCGAAACCTCGCGTGGCTGGGAGTGCTCGTGGACGTGAACTGCGAGCCGCGGCGGCGCTCGCACGATTCGACCAGCCGAAAAAGGAGCCCGAAGAAGACATCAAAAACGAGGTTAAGGATGAGGATAGCGGCGAAAGCGAGTACGAGGACGATCCGGCGGACATCAAGAACGAAGACGCTGTCGACATCGATGGTATGGTGATCAAGGACGGCAAAGGCAGGGGCATGATCAAGGTCTGCGAAGACGAGAACTCCGATGACCAGGATGCCCAGAACGAGCTACAAGAGTTACAGGCGTCGGTGAAGCAATGGCGACAGACGCATCTCAAGTTCAAGCGCGAGCCCGTGGACGAAGCTGAAGCTTCAAGTGTGCCGCCACCGAATCGAGTAGCAGAGTCATCACACAAGGAAGCACCGACGATCCGGAGACCAGAGCAAGAAGTTCCTTCGCGAGTCAAGGTCAAGGAGGAGCCGGATGACGATCAGGAGGCGCCAATTTTAGATATCGCGAGTGCAACCCCCACAATCAAGAGAGAAGCGCGAGACGACCCCCGGTCAATAGCAACCCGTCATCCGATCTCGCCGCCCAGCGCACCATCCGCGGCGTCGCCATCGGCCGAGAGACAGAGGGTGACGGCAACGGCAACGGAGTCAGCGACGATGACAGCGTCAAAGTCTAATAGAGCTGCGGCCGCAGCGACAACGGCCGAAGATGGACGAGAGAGTGAGACCGGGTCCATCTGTGGAGTCTGCTCGTTTGCCAACTGTGCCCTGTCGATAACGTGCGCCGTCTGCTCCCACGTGCTGGACCCGGCAAGCGTACCGAACGCCTGGCGCTGCGAGGGCGCCGCGTGCCAGGAAAGCGAGTATCTTAATCCCGGCGACTTTGGAGTGTGCGGTGTCTGTGGGCAGAGCAAGCGAGAAAAGCAAGGCTGAGTTTGGGTTCACGACATGATAAGGTTAGGAGTGACACAGGACTTTTGCAGTCAAACGAGATGAGTTCGAGATAATGACAAATTGCGGCTATTGCTAATTGACCGTGGTACACCGTATACTCGCAAACAATTAGACAAGAAAAAGTATGTACGGATCTCTTGAGCAGGGAAAAAAGGAAGCAAACAAGTCAGGACTTTTAATGAGGCGATGAGCGCATGTTAATATCGAATCACTATCCGCACCCTCGTCAACTGACTAAGTGACGGGCCGCCGACGATAGACGGTAGGGCTCGTTCCTGGCGGTGCACAGCTTTTTGCGGTTGATTTGTTTTCCAGGAACGGATAGTTATTCTAGGAAACTTTTTCCCTCGCGCATTTCCCCTGCGCAGAAAAAGGGCAAGCGGGATTATACACTCAGCACGTACGCAATTTACGAAAATGGCTCTTATTCATTTACGACTGATATGTCAAGTTGTCAAGTAAAGTTTTGCTGGTGGGTTCGTCCAAAGAGTCAAGCCACCACGGTCCCATGCTGGCCACGGACAGGCTTAGCATGGGATCCCCCTTTGGCCACAAAGGTCGGGCCAGGGGGGGACAATAAGGACGAAACATGGAGAAAGAGCAGGCCAGGCAAGGCGGACAGCCGATCGATGGGGCCAGGGGGACCTTTTGAAGTGGGCTGTTGATCATGAACTACGGCTTCATCAATGCTGACTCTACGTACGGACACGGATAACACCTATCGCATTCGTTCAGTGGAAGTTGGCGATTCAAGACAGGTCATGGGATAGCGCGGCGGGTATGTCAGATATCTATCCGCGAATTTAGGCCCGTCGAGCAGAATGCATCGTCGAAATGTCATCATCAGCTCGGGGATCGCCAGAGCCAAGGGAAGACGCGGAGCCTCGCTTACTCGGCATCTGAGGAAAGGACCTGGACTGGAGATTTCGAAGAGTCCGAAGAAGGAAGGACAGAAAAATATGGTTAACGGACCCAAAGTCTGGGCAAACTCGCCAGAGTATCTGATAAACAACGAGATACACAGATGACTGACCAATAGTGCAATAGCATGAAGAACCAAAGACCCAAGACCACTATTCACCTTAGTACCAGCAGTAGCAGCAGCGGGTGCGGTTAGAAATGAATTGCACTCTGTGGCTATTCTCGGGGATCTTCTATATCGCTGCGCATCCTATTGACCGGCAGCAGCTTATCAAGATAGTTGAGACGAAAAGAGAAGCAAGCAACACCCGACCTCTAGCTGAGCTTAAGCTCCGGCTGGCCTTTTTGCGGTGCAAGTGCATGCAAACGCATCATCACCGAACACCCAGCGTCCGTTGCCTTCTCCATCCTGCAGAACTGCAAACAAGCGCTTTTCAAGCTCTCTTTCTGCAGACGGAATAGTTATTCTCAGCCTATCGTCCATCGTTCACCACCAAAGATGCACTCCAGAAAGGGGAGGCGAGTCCGGGGCAACTGCACGACTGTGGTAGGTGGTATTCGCAGCCCATCCCTCCCCCCCCCCCCAAAGTCGTGCTAGGCGTGGAGAGACGCGGGAATACCGGGATAGGGGTCCCCACCCGTCGAGTTTCAGAAGGCTTAAAATGGGAACCTATCGCCTAGGCCGAAAAGGACTACCGTTACTCGCGGGTTGCAGCAGTTTGCGAGAGAGTGCTCGAGTACCTACCGACAACCGCTACCGCACGAATGAGCCAAGGTCGCCTGCCGCTTTGGAGGGAAGGGGGGCGTGGCTGGTGGCCTACTTTGAGTGCTGGGCCGCCGCTGGCCCCGTTTCACCTTGCGACTCCGGATGACTGCCGCCGTGTCGATTGGACGGCCAAGTGATCACCGAAACTTGTTCCTTCAAGAGATCCCATCCTTTTGGTTCTTTTCTGCTCATCAGGGGGGACTTTGACTACCACCTTACCTTCTGTGCTTCTGCATTCTATGCTGCAGGCCAGTGTCCGATCATCCCTTGGGCTGCGTCCATCACCGTCCCATAGTTGGCTGGCAGGGCATGATGGAATGACGATGCTTGGCTTTATCCGATGGAACGCTCCCCTCTCTCCCTTTCTCCCGCACTTTGGAGTTGATACCTATGTGGTGTTACCCTTGCAAACTCGCCCAGTATCGAATCTCATGCGCCCAGCGGCGGTCCTAAACAGCGAACCGGCGATCCGAGGGCGGGAACGACGCCCCATGTCCTGGACATCGAGCCACACCATTCTCATGGGAGTAAGAGAGCGCCATAGTAGAGGCCGACTGACTAAGAAATTGCATGGCCAGGAGAGAAGAAAAAGAGGCATTGGTTTCATCCGTTCACACAGCCATTCTGCTCTTGGCAGACTCTAAACACAGGCTTTGCTTTTAGTGACACCTACTCTAATGATACTAAGGTTAGTAGGGAAGAACCCCCTCTTCAGACGACAGCGTCAGGGCCCCCGTCAGCCTTCAGGTACCAGAACGTGTCGGGCTCGAAGCTGTGCTACACCGACCGAGGTCGAGGGAACTCCCACATACAACGTCCGCTTGAGCGAGTCCCGAGTCTCGAGTCTCAACTCTGGTGAGCAAGTATTCAAGCAGGCGGTAAGGCGGACCATATCTGCAAAGGCACAGAAGCGATCCCGGCGCGAGTCTCTTTAGGTAGTGGAAAGTTCCTTCCAGTTTCACCCACCTCACCGGGCCGGCACCAGGCAAGAGGAGAACTTGTGGCTATGGAGAGACGAAAGCACGCAACGCAATCCTCGCAACGCAAGCGACGTACGCAACCGCACAAACGTGACAAACGTCTGGTTCCGCGTCCCGCAGCCGGCGTCCCTTTTCTTCCTGCCTTTCGAAAATGGGAAGGAGAAATCAGGGATCCATATTGAAATGGGGCTCGAGCTCCATACTGCGTACATCCAGAGGCGGTTACCAAGTTCAAGACCATTCTCTTGCGGATACAGTCAGCCAAGTTTCGCGCCACCCCTCCCCCCCTGGACCCTCGCTCTTCATTGCGACATGGGGAAGCCGGCTCTTGGATTTGCGAAAGACTGGGGTCCCAGGGTCCAGGGGGGTGGTGCAAGTGAAAGTGAGGAAGTTTACAGAAGTAATACCTTGCGGATGCAACCTAGTAATAGCTCACTGCCCAAAGTGCGCGCGGGAGAAAAAGGATTTCTGGGTTGTGAATATGGCGGCTTGCGAAACCTACTTAGTGGCTTGCTCGTCCTCCCTACTCTTTTCCTGCTTCTCCTCCTCCTTCAGCTTAAATTGTTCGAAACTTGTTTCTCTTTCCACATTCTTTTCGAAAGAAACAGTCCAGACAGTCTGTTGACAGTCACTTTCCTTCTTTTTCTTCAACCTTTGATGATCTGTGATCTGTTCCATTCTTTCTTCCAAGAAGCCCTCTTTGCTCCGTTCCAAACCAAACCTCGTCTCGACGACCAAACACACCAAAACTTACAAACCGAACTCACCCGAGACATCTCACGATCGACTTGCCAATACTACCCCAAAGATCACTCTCAACCTACAACGCATCAATCTACTCATCCCTCAAATAAAACGAACTCCGAAACGAAACTCTTCTTCCAGTCATCCCATATCCACGACTGAAAGCGATCAAAACCTCCAAATTTCACTTACACCAAAACCCTCTCTCACTCAACCTATCAAACTACCTACTCGCAACAACCGCAACCATGTTCTCCACGCTCATCCAGACCTTTGTCCTCCTCCTCACAGCCACCGCGGCCCTCGCCGCCCCGGCCGGAAGACACAACTGGCCCCGCTTCACCGTGCCCCAGCAGCACTTTGAGGTCCTCAGCATGCGCATGCAGGAGCCCGTGAACCCGGCCGCCATGGTGGAAGCCACCTGCGTCGACCGCAACGCGTACGTTTCCTTCCAATTTTGACTTACACAAGAACCCTTTCCACTACATCCTCTCCTCTCTTCCACCGAAAACACATCAAGCACCTTTCACCCATCAACTTCAAACTACGAAAGAAACTTTTGACTAACACCACGCTCAGTCACATCGTCTTCCACGACCAAAATGCAGCAGAACTCGCCATCTGCGGCGGCATTTCGGGCTCCGTCGACGCCTGCCACGGAAACCCCTCCACCACCGTCGGCCAAGCCGGCTCCGCCCGCTTCAGCCTCAAGACTACCGTCGAGGGCGCGCAGATCACCATCTCAAAGACAAAGTGGGAGCAGTGCGTCCGCGCCGCTCGCGACAAGTGCCCAACCGGCAGCCTCCGCGCAGTGTGCGCCGGCGGCGCGACGGTCGGCGACGTGGAGTTTACGCTCAAGAACTCGTTCAGCATGGACGACTTGTAAAAGAAAACTTCGAATGTGCGCTTCAGCTTTTGCGTTGTTCTGGGCGGTGGATGAGGGGATGTTTTGGTCGTGTCTGATGTGTTATCTCTCTCTCTTTTCTCCTTACTTTCTTCTCACAGAGGCTGTTCATATCAGTTGATATGCCTCGTTTTTTCTTTCTTGCTGCGGGCATCTTCTGTGCCGTGGCTTCATGATTTTGATGAAAAGGGTTCTGGGATCGGAGTTTGTCTGCCCTTTTTCCAAGGGCAACATCTTCAACCGTATATATATGCAACGCGCTTGTAAAAAAACACATTCGCATCTGTACAAATTCCTCATAGGGGACGTTTGTCTTGAATCCAGACCAGTTGGCGATCAAAGTCACCCAATTCAAATCATCTTTTTCCATCCTTGTAAAACAAACTTGACAAAAAGGGGGTATCATAACGCCTAACCGTTCACCGTCCATGCTTATCCCATATCCAAAATATAATCGCAAGATGTCAACGACAGCGGCATATGCACCAGCAAGCTTTGCTAAAACAGCCAACAAGTCCTTGATGCTCTCAAATGCCGTACCTCGTAAAACACTCCTCCCGATGCGTCTCAAGACAATCCAAAGCGCAAACCCTCGTCCCGCACTTCATACACTTCACCCGGCCCCAATACCCGCACACCTCGCAGAAACTCCGCTCAGGATACCGCGTATCGTCGTCGCCCCACTCGGCCCTCGCGTCCCAGAAACTCAGCATCGGCCGCGAAAGCAGCCACTTGAGCTCCTCGTCCGTCGGCATCGCAGGCACCCGCGACACGAGCAGCGGATCATCGTCGCCAGGATGCGGCGCCGGTCCTGGTTTATCGTAGGGCTTCAGCACCGGGTCTGTCGCCGTCGCCGTCGCCGAGTCCTCTTGCGCTTCTGCTGCCGGCGCGGGCGTCATCTCGACGTCTTCCGGTTCCGCTGGCGTCTTTGGCGTCGATGTCTTGGAGCGCTTGGCGGCGTTGCGCTTGGTGTGCTGGTTCGGATGGGGCGGTTTGTTGGCCGGTTTGGCTGTGTGCTGGTTCGGGTGCGGCGCGGGCGTGTTTCCGGCGTGCGAGAGGAGGGCGAGGTGGTCGTCGCAGTGGTTGTGGAAGGTCTTTTGGGACTGGAGGATTTTGCGAATTGCTGGCGTGCTCTTGTTCTGGCCTGTGATTCCGTTAAATCGTCGTTAGTTTGGCTGTCGCTTTGCGCTTCACTACGTCCGCGCCCTACAGCGTATTGGAAGGCATGGGGTGATGGGGACAGACGTACCTCTCGAGGCCTTGGCCGGGATGGGTATCGAGGCATCACGACCACCGTCGCGGTCCAGCTGCTCGAGTTCCTTGCGGATCTTGGCTTCTTGGCGGACGGTGAGGTCTGAGGCGGTTGGGTTCGCCTTGCTTCGAGCGGCGCGCTTACGGTTCGCGGGCTGGAGGGCGGCGGCGGCCGGGTTAAGGCCTGTATCGGGAACGTAAGCCCATCCCGGGGCGTTTGTGACTTTGCTGCTGGCGAGCTCGTAGACACCAAAATTATTCATTTCGAGGTTGGAGATGTTGCGGCAGGGTTTTTGGAAAGGGAGTGTGGTAGTTTGACTTGGAGCTCTCTGGGTTCTGGAGTCTCTGCGCTTGAACTTTTTTTGTAGCGAATCAGAAGAGACGACGTTGAGTGGCTAATTATTGGCCAATGGGAATGTGTTGGTTACAGACGAGCACCTAGCGGAGAGCTTCCCCAGGTTGTAGGTTGAGACCTCGGTAACTAATACATTATTTATATTCGAGCAATTGACACTCAGGTACACAATGAATAACAAATTAATAATTCGATCAACTTTGAAAAGAATTTTAATGCCGTGACAAGTTTTCATACGCTCAGAAGCCGACAAGTGCCGAATGCGCCCATGAGCCGCATTCCCGAACCCCCTTCAGTGGATCATGAAGCCACTCCCCAGAGTCCCAGACAATCCCCAGCAAAAGCCGGCTGGTCGACCGCACCATTCTGGCCAATAGGATACTCTCAATGGCGTCCCGGCTAATCCCGCCCTCTGTGCTCTCGCTGGTCCGGCGCAGGCGGAGGCGGTACCTGACTGAAGTACCTTACTGCAGCCGTGCAGCGCCGCAGCGCCGCCGTAGAGAGGTAAACGACGTAACACGGCTGGGACAGAGCTTCCACGTTCCCGCCCAACTTAACCGCACCTCGCCCCCAGAGCACCGACCCGACCGACCTCATCGAACCTGGTCTACGCCATCTCCAAACCCCATAACTTCTACCACCACCACCACAAAACACAACATCACCAACGCGCAAGCCGACCGAGCTCCCTCCCCTCCTCATTTCCACACTCCGCGTCCAATTCCGACCGGGTCGCCTTCCATTCCTCCCGCCGATAGAGCAACCATCCTCCCTCTTTAACCGAGCTCCACGCACGACATCACCCGAAAACCACAATGGCCTCCCGCATCGTCACCCGCGCCCTCCCCCGCGCCTCCGGCCTCCCTCTCCGCGCCGCCCGCAACTTCCAGACCTCATCTCCCCTGCGCGACGCCGTCGCCGCGCCCCTGCCGGCCCGGAAACCCGTCGGTGCTTTCCGTGGAGGGTATGTCTTGAGCTTCTCTGCTCCGAAGGCAGCTGTCCTGCATCTCGTCCACGAGGCCAATTAGGTCTCGTGAGGGTTTTAGGATGCCGGCCACCACTTCATGACCATATGGAGAGAGATGATGATATCTTTGCTAACGAATCAAACCTCAAATAGTCTGTTCGGTTTCTTCCTCGGCAGCTCCCTCGCCGGCGCCGGTGTCTACTCCTACATCCTCCAAGAATACAAGACCTCCAACGAGCTCCTGACAGAGGACATTTACGTGCGTCATTACATCTCACTATCTACCTTCTTGCCTACCCCTCGAGGCTTTTCGCATCAATCAACCTGTGCCCTCCTGCATCCTTAGCAGTGCTGGTTGTGGCGTCATTGACCGTCTTGTGCGCTGCACCGGAACGCTCCCCGGTGTAGTCTCGCTACAACGCGGCGCGACCATCCTCGCTTCTCCTGCTCTCTCAATGTCCCAACAATGCCAATCATCGCTACTGCAGACCCTACATGATTCCACAATCAATGAGCTAACCAGACTGGATTACTTCAGGCACTCCAGGCCGCCGTCCAGCGCGTGACCAAGTACGTCGAGGTATTGGAAGAGAAGATGGACGCCATCGAGCGCAAGAGGAAGTAAACGAGATATCGCAGCGTTAAAAAGGGGGACAAGGAGGATGTGAGTGTAACGAGGACGCGAGATGCTCAGGGGGACGCCGTGGTAATGCAACGGTGAGGTTTTTCGAGGCGAAGTCAGCACAAAAAAAGCAGCACAGCACAATGGTCACGACCGGAATATTCCAAACAACGTCCGATTTCTTACTCTTTCCTGCGTGAGGTTCCTTCGATTCAGTGGTATGGTTTACGAAACATGCCGTGGAGATCGAGGTCGAGGAGCTCGTGTATATCAAAGACTGTAACAATATGCTTGTAAGGCGTGGGAGTTCTGCAAGTACGTGTCTAAACGTGTCCCCTGAGAGTGACTTCTCTTTACAGTCGGGGTCGTGTTCACCAAGCCGCTCGCTCAAGCTCAAGGCACAACCGAGACAGCCACCCGAGCTGACGGCAGCCGAGAATCTGAGAATGGCCATGTCAAGGAGCGACCTTTCCATGATGTTAATAGCTCATCTCGACTTCAAGTCTACCGCTTTCGGATATAAGGCTCTGGCCCAGTGTGTTCAGATGCCCTCCCTCAAATAAATACGATGAGCAATTGTCTTCCATTCTTCCTTCTTCTTTGAAATCGATCTTGATGTTCCAACAATGACGAACAGCATTGAACACTCACCCTGCCATCTCTCATTGAACTTGCGCCATTCGAATGTTAATGTGGATTGGTATTCGTGAGTAACCCGACACTTGAATCGTGACGGGCTGGCGCAGCTTGAAGCATAAGACCTGTAGTTCCACTCCTTTCTGCCCTGCTCTCTCGTATCCATATCTTGACTTTCACGTTGTCTGGGTTTCTGGTGGGAAAAATCGGCGAAGCAAAATACGACTTGAAGCACCTTGGTGAAAGTTCACGCAGAGAATACCTGATGATCTAATTTACCAGATCCCTCTGCCTCACTCTATAATCTCAATACGTACGTCCGCAGCAAACCAAGAGGATGGTAACGAGTGTGATTAACTGCTCTAAACTTGTAAGCATACCAGACTTAAAAGCTAAGAGGGTAAAAAAAGCTTCCTGTGTGGCCCCGAATCATCTAAACGCAGATATACAGAGAGCATATGCGCATCACATTAAGATACTCGGAGGCTAACACATCGATTCAATGAGCTACAGATTGACGTTATGAAACGACCAGAGCGTGTGTACGACACCTCAAGAGCCGCTACCGCTTCGCATCCAGAACATGTGGCTCCAACGTGGCTCGTCTTCAAGAAAGGCAAAAAGGCGTAGCGAAAACGCTACTACAACCCTCCAAGGCACACATCCTTTCCCTTCTTCCCGAAGCTTCTATAATGCTTCGCCACGATCAGCACAAGAGACTGGCATACGGAGAACCTCTGGTAGTAGTATGTTCACTACGGCTCAAAGTCTCCATTTCGCACAACCTAACTCCTGTCAATCTATGGCCAATACCACGCCTCAACACACTGCCGAGCAAAGGGCGAGGAAGCTCGGTGGAGCGAGTGACTTTTCGCTGGAAATTTGAACCATTGCCTCTTGGTGACGGCTATCACCTCAATTGTCAAGGGATGTCAATCTTACTGCAGCCATTGATAAGGCAAATCTTCCAGAAGGGGACTTCTGTGTGTAATGAACGAGAACGATCGAGTCTTGCTGGAGTGAGACATTCCTGTGAAGGCCAAGGGCAAAACAGTATCGGAAGTTGCGGCGTAAAAGAAGGCTATGCTGAGGAGCCTGTAAACCAGGACATCCAGGGAGTAGGGCGGAATTCTTGGTATAAGACTACCTTTTAGCCATTGTAAGGTCGGTGTAATGCGCGCCTCACGGTCCTTAGGTCGTGTTGCTCTGTGGTTCCCCAGGCCAAGTCAACAGACAATAGATTAATTCATGGAACCGTCAAAAGCCAAGTAGAGTCACTAAGGCTTCAGGTCACGATTCACGCAGTGGAAATAAGAAGTTTAGACATGTGCTCGAATTTCATAACGTTAATTTACCCGCAGACCATAATGCAAAGAGTCGACCTAACGCGCAAGAGGTATATAGTCCCTATCCCATGGGACGTCCCAAAGTGTCATTTCATAGTGAACCCAGAATTCTTTTACAACTCGTCGTGAGCATCCTCCTTGGCCTTCTCGGTCTCCTTGGCCTTCTCAGCCTCCTTCTCGGTGGCAGCAGGGGCGGCCTGGCTCTCCTCGGCGCCCTCCTCCTTGACGGAGACCTCGGCCTTGTACTTGCCGTTCTCCTTGACGAACTCGATCAGGTCCTCAATGGAGCGGGAGCCGGAGTAGGTGACGGCAGCATCCTTGTTGCCTGCGGGGTAGAGCTTGATGGTGGGGAAGCCCTGGATCTCATCGGGAACGTCGTTGGCAGTAGCGTCAACCTTGGCGATGACGACCTTGTCCTTGAACTCAGACTTCTGGTACAGCTCACCAAGCTCCTCGTACTTGGGGGCCAGAGCCTTGCAGTGACCACACCAGGGGGCGTAGAACTCAATCAGGACATCCTTCTTGTCATCAAGGACAACCTGCTCGTAGTTCTTGGCGACAACGACAGTGACGGGGCCGTCGTTGGACTCAGGGATGGGCTCGGACTTGATGCTGGGCTCCATCTTGCCGGAAGAGAACTCCTCAACGAACTTGGCGATCTCATCGTGGGTGATCTTCTTCTCCTGGTCAAAGGGGAACTTCTGGTTCTTGACGGTCTCCTGGATGGCGAAAGAGGGGAACTTGTCGGTGGCGAGGTTGAGGTTGCCGGCGTGAGCACCGAACGCCTTGGCGTCGATGGTAGCGAAGTTGATCTTGCCGCGGTACTTCTCAGCGATGGGCTTCAGGGCAGCGCCAAGCTCCTCACGCTCCTCGGGGGTCTCGGCGAAGATGTAGGCGAGGGGAAGGCCAGCGGACATGTAGCCGGAGTAGGTCTCGGGGCCGACCTCACCGATCAAGGGAGTGGCGGCGGTCTGGGCAAAGGTCTCAATGGCCTCAGCGTCGAACTTCTCAGTGAAGGTGGCCTTGCCCTCATCGAAAGACTTGTAGAGGACGATGGCAGGGGCCTTGATGCCCTCAGCCTCAGCAACAGCGGCGTCGTTGACGCCACCGAAGAGGTAGGTGTCGCGGAGCTTCTCGGCGACCTTGGTGAAGGTCTCGTTGGAGGCCTTGTCAGTGGCGTCGATGTAGGCGACGAGAACGACCTTGTCGGCGGTCTTGAACTCCTCAAGGGTGTCCTTGGTGAGGATGGAGACGGCGGGCAGGGACTGCTTCACCATGTAGGAGGTGATGGCAGCAGCCTTGCGCTGGCCAGAGTAGGGAGATACGTTGTCGGGGCCGCGGAAGACCTTGAGGGTGGGGTAGCCCTCAACGCCGTACTCCTGGCAGAGATCGGACTCCTCAGTGCAGTCGACCTTGACGAGCTTGATGTTCTTCTCCTTAAGGGAGGTGGCAGCCTCCTCGTACTCGGGAGCGAGAGCCTTGCAGTGACCGCACCAGGGAGCGAAGACTGGACGTCCACGATCAGTATTTATTCGACTCGAGGGTAGCTAGGTAATTTGGGGGGGGGGGGGGGGAGACTCACACTCAGCGAGGACGAGGTCGTTGGTCTTGATGAAGTCGGCGAAGTCATCCTTCTTCAACTGGGCAACATCGGAGGCGGAAACCGCAGCAGCGGCGGCCAAAAGGCCAAGGGCAACACGCTTGCAGAACATCTTGATCTTGCGAGTAGGAGAAATGTTAGCTTTGGTACGAGCGATTGGTGATGCTATTGCGGAGAGTCTTGATGGTGGACAAATCGTAGAAAGAAGGATTGGGGCCTCTGTCCAGCTTCAGAAGAGGCAGAGCTGTGTAGATTTTGCGGTGGTGGCGACCGTCTGTTGCTACCTCATGCGCCCGATGAAGCTTGGTGATAGCTTGGGGAGTAAGTAGAATGTTGAGAGGAAGCTTACCTTTCTTTGATCTGAAGAATGAACAGTGAAGAAAGAAAGAAAAAAGTACACTCGTGGAGAAGGCGAGGCTGTCAAGTCTAACTTCAGACCGGAGTGAATGGGGAAGGCTTTGGTCTTAAGTAGAGGGTGGAATAGGTTCTGGAGAAAGATTCCGGATTTCTAAAGGGCAATTGAGAACAGGTGTCCCTTTTTCCAGGAACCGCCCGTCAGCTCATGCATTCACTCAGGCGGCTGCAGTGTCTGTGGTGGATGAGTGGATGGGGGAACGCCCCTCTCCTCTTTTTGGGCTAAGTCACTGTAAGTCTTTTCAACCGTAATCATGCCGGAGAAGTACATTAGCCGGCCAAGAGTATACTTACCCCAATCCACAGGCGAGCCCGTGCCTCCTAAGGTACCTTGCGGTTGTGAGGGGCAAACTCGCTTTCACTCCCCTCCCTTCCAGGCACTCCCCCCACCGTTCGACCGCTAGGAACACCAACTTACGGTGAATTGATAATCAAGCCAGGCTGACCAGCGGCGGTTTGAAGGTGAAGCTGAGCTAAGGTAGGAACGGCTATCCTTTTTGCCGTGGAGAGTACCCGTAAGCTCAGTTTGCCATCGTTATGTACCTGGGCCTTCTACATTGGCATGAGGCTTATTTCTGCCTACACCAAAGTCCCCTCTCAAGTCTCCGCCAGTGCATGAAGAAGTTGCTAGAGCTCCACGATCCGCTTGTCAGCAGTCTTCCGAGGCTGAGAGCCTCAAGGGCGTAGAAAGAAGCCGGGGGGCAAATGCGCTCGGAGACCATTGTCTATGACAGCCCCCCTTTCCTTGCGTTCCACCTTATGCCTGGGCGGGTCTGAGACAGATAGGACATCGTTGATGGAGAAATGGCTTTCAACATGGCACAAGCACTGGCGATGGCACAGGCACCATGGACCTTGAGGCAGGCCAGACAAGTCTTTTCTACGACCTCCATCCCATGTCCTCCCAGTTCCAGCCCGGACCAGCTCAGTGCGCGCCAGGCTCGGGTTGGTTCAATTGCGACGGAAGTATGTGGTGGTGGTGGTGGTCTCATTCCTTTCCCGTTTGTGTCTCTTGGTCCTTCCTCTACGGCGATAGGAATGCAACGCAGACACAGCCAACAATGGGGTCCGTATGTCTTGGAGGGCGGCAAGGTTTCCTTACGTCCCAAAGGACACATTTCCACGTTTTGCCGTGTACAAGTTACAACAAGCTCTTCGGTGCATTTGGGGTTGCAAGCTTGTCCGTTCCAGCACAAGGATCACCCTCTTGCCATTGGATCTGGTCGTGGGATTCTCACGTCTCCACCACCCGCCAAGCTGCCCTGCCGGCTCGAGATCCATCGGCAATGCTACCGTGGAGCGGATCACTAAACCAGATCTGGCCAGTTTCGGCAGCTTCTTATTTGGTGCTTCGACTCGCAGTCCGACAAAAGAGTGGAGGTGGCTGCTGTGAGAAGCTCCAGCCACCCATTATTGCTCGCGACACACGCTGCTCTACTGGATACCGTGGTCAAACCTCCCAGCCTCATTTCCAGGGTCCAACATGGAAATTATCGACGCAAACCATAATCGCACCTGCGATGCTGCATCTGGACTTGCTGTGGGGTTTGAGTTAGGCGTTGCCGGCAACCACGGCAACACTTTTAAGCAACGGCATATCTATTCAGAAGAAAAGATAGGCACTTGTAAGCCCATGAACTCGAACAGGAACACTCACATCGGCAAACGCATTTCGTTATTTCGCCTCTACGGAAGAACTCCCAGAATGCTACTCCATCCTGCCCGTTTGCTTCGCTGCCTACAAAGTGGAACCGTGTCCCGAACAGCGCAGCGGCTGACATGCTCCGTGTCGCCCCAAACTCTCCATCTCATCTTTGCCTCCGACCCGGCCGCTCCGCCGCGAGTGGGGTTTTGTCGAAGAAGCTTTAAGAATCCGTCTCATGGTTTGTGCTAAGTAAATGGTTAGACAAGACACATGCTGGCTGGAGCGCCGTCGTCGGCATCGTATTCCAATTTCCGTATATTGTCTCGCGAACTATTTGTCGCGTCACTGATTCGTTCAACGATCAATGAGGCTGAAAAGCGAAAAGGACAGATGTCATTCATCTACCTTACCCAGCAAAGAACATGAGCATAGTGTTCTATTCGCATCGGTCTGTCGAATTTCGCCCAGGAAATTGCTCACCACATGAACCTACTGATCCTCAAGATGATTACCTAAATAGGCAAGTGCCACTACAGGGCAAGCCTACCTTAATCAAGTCATCGTGCCCTCAAAATTGCCAGGTTCAGCGACTCAACTGTTCATCACCCCTTCGATTTTCATGAGTTTAGATGCGTACAATCTACAAATAGACAGTCCAAAGCCTGTATGGTCGTTTCTCTGTCGTCCTCAGGCCTGAAAACTTCATCTACGCAGTACACATTGTGCACGGATGGCACATGACGATGAATATCCAACGTAAGCTTCTAGGTTTAGTTCTATCTTCTTACTTTTGCCGGCCTCAACTAGATGGTAGGTTTGCTTGCAGGACTGGTAAGAGACGGCCTATGGTTCCAGATGGACGCGAATAGCAGGCTGAATCGCCTTCACTTTCAACATGTCATCTCGCTAGCCACGATCATGTCTAAATTTGCGCCGGATCCTCTGAGAACGCGACTTTTCACGTTGCAGTTTTAAGCAAAGGCCTTCTCCTCTTCCATACAAATAAGACTGGGGAAAGAGGCTCCCTATAAGACAAGATGAGGGACGTACTTGGAGGAGTGCCTTCCTTGTGGGTTCAAATTATCGCGAGGTAGGTGCTCTCTTGCGATGGCGAACCAGATGAGCATACCTGCGTTAACGGTATCGTCGTCCCTTCCTATTTTGACTTCGCAAAGGAGTCAAGGTCAACTGACGTCCACTCCGCTGCCGACTCTGCCAAAAATGTTTGCTCGACACAATGCCCAAACATGCCAGCCTGCCGGCCTCAACATAGCTTCATGTCGACTCTTTAGGATCTCTCTTTCAGTGCCCGACGATTTTGCTGTGTCTGTTAAGTAGAGATACTTCATTTTACCATCTGCCCGTGCCACGACTTGTTCAAAGTCTCTCCGAATGGAGAACATTCACGCTCAACGTCGTTCCGCCAGCCATGGCTCGCTTCGCAGCAGCTACAAGTCCCACACTCGACCACCCATTGGATGTAGTCTGCCACGTCGACCGTTGAGAAGCGTGAACGAGAATGCTAGTTTACTTCCGTCGCCCGGTCCTCTTGAGAGCATGCTCAAGACCACAACGGAAACAGGCGACATAGGCATCTTCAGCATCAAGCCAATAGCTCCAGCGGCTACAACACACCAATGCGCAAGATCACGGACCGGACTCGATGTTAACACAATCTTCAGATCTGAGTCTCGTGCCAGCCATCGTACCATCTCTGGAGCCGGCCGCCGATGGAACAGCTCGGACAGAGACACCAATTCAGAAATCATCTCCATGTATGGCTCAGAAGGCCCTCCGTCCTCCTTCTCCAGCTCATTCTCCCCCAAAATCGATGGGCCGTACCAGCGTTCGTACTCCCTGACCACATGTGGTTCTCGGAAATTTTCCAGTAACAAGTCATCTGGTACTCTCCAAAGCCATTCGAGCAGTGGCATCTTGCAACGACCACGGTCCCCGTTTCCCTACCCAACTCGACTGAAACGCCCTGGAGTTCGGCCATCTTCGCCGGCTCTTACGGAGAATGGACTTGTTGACTACAGTAGGATGGTCGAAATAGATCGAATCTCATATGTAAGCACTCATGGTCCTCCACAAAGCGTAGCGTAACAGGAGCTCATCATTTATTAGAGGACTGTGCATGGCTCGTATAAGCCAACCTTTCCACAACCGCAACGATTTGGCCCTCCCGATGCGTTTCGCGGCGGCATCAACCAATCCATGCCGTATCTACCGCATTCCAGCTCTTTCGTGTCGCCCACTGGATCCGCTCTTGGGTATCGTGGGTACCATAACCTGTGGGGTAACGAGCTTGCGAGCAGACCACGACGACCATCCACGGATCATAGTGCGAGATCCTCAAGCCTGACTTCGGTCATTGAGATGTACTACAGATCACTCTCAAACTTGGAACCCAATCTGTCACGCACAATTCGCCCCGCAGGATCTTTCTACTACGACTACACCGAAGCTTTTGAAACCCCGGAACGCCAAACAGACCCTCGGGATTCTACCTTGGCGCTGCCTTTAGCTCCTATTCCTCAGCGAGCATCGAGCCTTACCAGAGCCTTAGTGCTTCGAGACGAAACGAAGGCTCGTCTGGATGCTGTCATCGACATATCTGTGAAAGACTCTAGCGATTCGTCCGGTGATGACTGTCGAGCCTTGGACAAGAAACCTGCCAATGACATCGAAACGTTACCTTCACAGCGCTTGAGCTCTAGAGCCGCCCCTCCGACGCTGGAACAATTTCCGTTCGAAGTTGATGGGACATCGGCTTCTCGCCCTGTCGACGTTGATAACGATCTGAACATGTTTGTACCTTGTTCACAGGCAGTTGATACTGCGGCTTTCCAGCGATCTCAAACGACTCCAAAGCCTCAAAACATCGGACATAACAAAATCGACGATGAAGAAAATGCGGAAGGCTATGCCAATCCGTCTCGAGGCCATGAGCAAGGGAATAAAGGCCACATAACGAAAGCGAACGCTGATGCTTCCCATCCCGCTGTGGAACATGCAACGGAGGCACTGTCTAAATCCCATTTCAAGACTGCGGACGAAATCATCCCAGGCCCCAACGAACCCAGTACGTTGCAATTAGAGCTGTTGAATCGAAATCGGCTATCCAGAAGAGCCCCGTCCCACAGTGGCCTCGCGGCCCTTCTCCGCTCGAGTTTACGCCATTCGGTTGAACCTGGCCTATCCGACCTTGCGGCATTGGTCTCGTCATTCGAGCGTATTGCCAAGTCACCGTCCATGAGCAAGGATGAAGACTCGACTGGACTTCACGAGGTCGATGTAGATGAGCCGAAAGATCTCAAAGCTGAGATGGAGCATCATCACCCCCTGGAGGGGGAAAATATGGTGAATGAGTCTGCCGCAAATGGCGCAACCCATCCTGACCTTCAGTGGAGGCCTTTCTTCAGAGGCCATCGCAGAAACCGAGCGCTTGCTCGAATCAGCACAGCAAGTCTCCGAAGTCATACAGCGCCACCAGCCTCCAAAGCGGACAATCTTCTCCTCTCCTCGACGCCAATTCCTAAGAACCGTTTCTTGAGTACAAGCAGCAGTGTCCCGCACTTGATGAAGGCATTGCCCTCCCTCCCCAAGGAAGCGCAAGCTCAACTGAGACGAGTGTCAAAGGCATCTGGGGACGATTTGCGATTTCCAGTCAAGTTTTCACCCTTTCAGCTCGAAATCCTTGCAACTCCACGGTCGAGTCCTAGAATTACTGCACATTCCGATGTGGAAGACCATGAGTCTTTCCGAGCTAGCATTGAGCTCGAAGTCATTCAACCCAAAATAGAGCACAAACCGGCGGATCATGATGCACCGAGTCCGAAAATGAAGGTGACTGTAGTTCCAAGCCCATCGAAGCGAAAACTTCGACTCAAAGCGTCTCGACTGGCCTTGGATGTGGACACAATCCCAGAAGACCAGACCGGCACAGTCAGACGTCGCTCCAGTGTCAAACACAGCATACTTGCCGACTTACCGGCTCACCAGGCCAAGGACCTTTTCACCCCAGTGCTCCATGAGGAACGTCAAGGCAGCATGGCTTACCGGCGAAAAGGAAGACGATATGTACAGCTCACACCAAGTGATGGGGAAAATCTACCGGCCCGTGTCTCTCCAACAGCAAGGTACTCCAGAGATGGGCACCTACATGAACGTGACATCCCTCTGGCGCACCCAGTTGACACGAACCTCTATAGGTTGAGTGCGTCCACTGATGGATTTGACCTCAGCGATTCTCGAAGCTTCAGCTCTGATTTGACTTTTTTCCGGCCGAGGATCCTCAAGAAAAAGCTGTCGAATCTCAGACTTCGCATCACCAAATCATGTTTTAACCTTCGAGAGCGTGCAAACAAGCACATTGCCAGGCGACCCCAATCAACCGGTCTGGCCGGCTCGAAGAACTCTGACGCGACAGTTGTACATAGTAAATGGGCCACGGCCACCCCGGGTCATTCGAAGCAAGTACGAAGGAAGATGAAGAGATGGGTCCGGCAAGCTGTCTCCATTTGTGTCAAGGGCCGGCGAAACGAAAGCGAATTCATTTCTTAACTGTCAAGGAGAAAATGTTGGAGTCATTATTATCGTCATTGGGTGCGTTTCTTGCTTTTGATTCTCAAGAACATGAACTCTTTGGGAAAAAGACTTATAGCTGTTTTTGGAGGGGTATGAGCGAAGTGATGGACCCGGGCTAGAGTAGATGATACGTGCGGTTGGTTGGGACGTAATAGGTGATGGCGGGTTTGTTGAGAACGAGACATCGTGAAGTGGCTTGACCAGATCAGGGCCAGGTTCACAGAATTAATAAAATGCGATATGATTTAACACATTTCGTTGTGATTAGGAGGCGCTAAGCGAGAATTGGAGGGCTTGCATCATGATGCTGACCTTACCGTATCGTGTATGGCCATGTTCGGGATACATGACGGAGGGGCTGATTGACCATGAAGGTTCTCATGGCTTCATGCCCGGCCATCACAAAACCGAGCTATCCCCACGGGAATCTATTGATGTGAAGGTTTCCTCGGTACATACTGTCCACGCGACCATCGCACATTCGTTAACGTCCTCCACCATACCGCTCGTTCAACCGACACTCGTTAGAAACTATCGTGATACAAATCGAAAAGTCGTCTCTAGACTTGAACATTCGCTACGCATTGCCATTCGTTTCACCAATAGCTACACCTAGCTATACCTGTAGCTACATCAGCCTCACCATCGGGCATATCGGTAACTTCGTCAATAGCTTCATCATCGGCTTTTCTATCCAACTCCTATCGACAGCTTCCTCGGCTCCACATATAGCTACATCAACATCCAGCTGTAGCTGAATCAGCCTTAAACATCAGCTCCTCCGACGGTTCTACGGGAAATATCACTACCAAGCTCCATCAAGCCTCGCCGACCGGACTCGGAGCGTAGCCCAGAAAAACCGTTCCATTGACATTATCATTCCCCTTCTCTGACTCCAACAAAACAATCCCAAAAAAAGCCCGACAATGATCTCCTCCCTGTCAGAGATGAAGGACCTCAGGTCACCTCTAGACCGTCTCCCGCTGGTCATCCAACATCCTTCCTTCTTCGAGAATCCGACTCAACACCTTTCGTCGTCGCGTTCGTCTTCAGCGGCGGGGCACCATACTTGTCTTGACGGGGACCAACTCTTCCACCTGAAATATAGACCAAAGTACATCGTCAAGGATCGTCGCGCCGGCAATGGCGTGGATGCGGATGAGACCGTAGAGCGCAAGGATAGCGTCATGGCCGATATTGCCGACGCGGATGACATTCTCGATGACAAGACGTCTTTGTCTGTGTCACCGCAGTCATTGTCGTCGGTTTACTCGTCCGAGTCGGGCGGCGGTGGTGAAGAGCGGACCGAGGTGATGATGACGGTCCGCAAGTTGGTGAGGGAGTTTGATGAGGAGGGGGAGAGCAGTACCGCGCCCTCCGAGGAGGAGAAGAAGAAGGCCGAGGAGATGGAGATGGAGAAGCGTAAGAAGGAGAAGGAGATTCGGCAGAAGGAGGTGGAGAAGCAGCAGAAGAAGATGAACAAGAAGAGAAAGAAGAGAGACTCCGTGGCGTTGCTGTCTGGTAGTCCGTGGGGTGGCGACGCTCAATGGATGAATGGGCGACGAGGGGGCAGCAGGAATGGAGGCCACGACGCTCCCGGTATCTTTCTTCAACCCGAGGCTCCTCGGCGTTCGCCTCCGACGCCGATTGATCCCGTTGGCGTGTTCCCGCCCGAGCTGAAGAAGAGCAAAGAAGAGAAGAAGGCGAAGAAGGAAAAGAAAGAGGCTGAGAAGGAGGAGCTCCTGGTGCTGCCCAAGGTGCCGTGGTGCCACCAGAGCGGTGGGTGTCGCCAGAAGCGTGGACGCCGGAGGAGGAAGATGGCCGGGTTCGCGGCGCGGTCGGTCGATTTGCTGCGTCGGCTATTCGGCGGGAAGGGCAGGGAGAAGGAGGACAGGAAGGGGAAGGGGAAGGGGAGGGCGAGGTGTCGGATCTGTGGCGATGAGTTGGGGTTTGCGGTTGAGCTGGCGGAGTGGCAAGAGGATAGAGAGTTGGGTTCTGCTGCTGCTGCTGCTGCTGTCATGGGCAGGGAGTCATCGAGCGGCTCTTGTGGAAAAAAGTTGGAAGCGGACTCGGACAGGAAGGGCATGGATCGAATCGAGGCTGATATCACAGCGGTGGCGGAGTGTGAATCACGTTCGACGCTGGCGACTGTTCGGCTCACAAAGATCCCAGAGGCGTGGTGGACCACAATATAGATGGCTTTGACTGCAGAGTCATCTTTGTATTGATACCCAAGTAGCTTGTCGAGAGAATCTTTCTCTCTCAGTCAGCATGGCCACTGAGGGTCAGCTCCTGTAATTCCTAATAGCTAATAGCTAATCAGTCCAAGCGCATGAGCCGTACCCGAATATTCAAGGGGTCAACTCGTTTCTCTCTGGATCAGAATACGCCTCCGCCAATAATGAAGACCCGTTCCTCCTCGCGACGGGCCCACTGGATAACTTTGTTGGCGCCTTGGGTAAGTACGGCACGGCTCACGTTGGGGCCGGCTACGCAGTAAAATTCGAATATTGGTGTGATCCAGGCTAAAGAAGTAGCATCCTCGGAGACGGAATGTAGAACACGCATATGGGAGTGTTTCGCGTGGACGGCAGCGTGCAGTTGATGATATAGGCCCATGAGGCGGCGACGGGCCATCAGGGAGGAGAATACGGGGTCGAGGGCGGACATGCTGAACTGCACGTTCGCACGGGACTTGTAGAGGAAATGCGATATTTGACCACCGGGAGCAATGTCTGTGGTTTTTGGCCGTCCGGCACGCGCGGCGGTCTGTATAAGTGAGAGATGGTCCGACTTGGCCAGAGAAGCCGCGACGTTATCACGCATTTGCTTGAGCTCAAAGAAGGACTCCTTGTCCGGGCTGATGAGGATGATGGCGAGTTCTTCATCCTTGTGTACCGGCGCCTCTTGCCCCGTGGCTTGCTCGCCGTCGACACCGTCGAAGAAGCTGACGTACATGTACAGGTAGCCGCGATTGTTGAAGGCCGGCAAGCACAGGGGAATCCAATTTTCTCCGCCGCCGGCTTTGATGCCACCCGATTCGAATAGCATATTGAAAATGAGTTGGAGGTCGCTTGGGTGCAGAGAGTGGCGACGCGGACGAATAACACTGACCAGTTTACCACCGGCTACAATCAAGCCGTACAGAAGCTTGTCTGTCCTCTGCTTGAGGAAGGCATTGTTGATGGCATGTCTCTGGGACTTGCGCAGCTTGAGACACTCCAAGGCGCCAAGCAGTGCTGACGGGGAGCCTTTCGTGAAATTATCGGCAAGGGACGAAATCAGGGGCTCAGTTCCTTCGAGTGGTTTTCGAAGATCGGACGATGGTCGATGGACAAAGATGTTTTTCAGCGTGGGCAAGGTCAGTGTCGACAGGATCTGCATGTACAGAGCCTCGAGTTGCGCTCGTAGCTGTGAGTCACTTTCGCCGAGCCGACTGATGGCCACGAAGTAGAGGGGCCCTTGCGTTGCAACAACAAATCGCGTAGTTCCAGCGGTGAAGCCGGACAAGGGGTTCTTAGCCCCTTCATAGAAAGATATGAGGGTTTGAATGACACCCATGGACGAGTTGATCAGCCCCAGGTCTCCGTGACGACTGTAGATGGGTTTGCCCGCCGATGAAAGGATCATGTAGTGCTTCAACTTTGCCTTCCACATGGTGACTCGATCTTCGTCTTTGAAACTCGTGTCGGCCTCGTCGGGTAGGTCGTCGAACTCGTGCTCGAACCCAGCCAGATTACGGGTTATGTTATCCATCCTTAAGGTTTCGAAGGGTGGCACAGTTGCCGATTGCGACCTGAGGAGGTTCCATGCCGGACTTCTCTTATTGAACTCCCCCATCAATAGGCTTGCGATGTCGTTGGGCGGCCGCAGGGTCGGGGAGAAGCTGGCGATACTCATAGAATCTTCGCCCTCACCCAGCGTCCTTGTTGGAGTAGCTTGTCCGCTCGAGGACTGTACTGGGGTTGAAACGGCCCTGCTGCCTGTGGTCGAGAAAGTGCCGCGCGAACCATCTGGGAAAGACAGGGTCTGGATATCGAGAGGTGTAATGGCGGTAGTCGCGGCTGCCATGGCCATTCTCGAATCTATCGAGTCGTTCGATTCCATCGACGGCCGTGGAGGCAGAGGGGGAGGTTGCTCCTCGCTGGGGCCGTTTTCGTGGTCCTCGCCCATGATTGCGATGGCGGGAGCATTTCAGCTAGGTGGTCGGGAAGTGGAAAGAAGCGCGGCGATGTTGCAGACTACCTAGAAGTAGAGTAGATTCTTGACTTTATCTGGAATTTGGGTCGCCAACCAGGTTCAAGAGGCCATGACTGGCATTCGAGACCTCACCTAGGGTAAAGGTAGGCTGGTAAGTTGAGAACGGGAGGTTTAAAGACGGCACGGGAAGAGGAGCGAAAGAGGGACCCGACGGGATAAGGACGAAAATCGTCCCAAGTTAGCGCAGACCTGCTGATGATGCGTAGGAGGGGCCGCCGAGATCTAGTGGTGCGGCAGCCTCTTCGTAAAGTGCCTTAGTGGGAACGGTCCGCTAATCAGAGCCTGTCTCGGCCCACTTGCTCGCCTGACCTGGGACCAGAGCTAGGCCAAATGCCCCCAGAGCAGGGAGCAACATGGGAATTCGTAAATCCCATGGCCGAGCGGAAACTCCCTTACCGGAAAAAACATTCCGGACTTTGACAGCTTACTTCAGCAGATGCAATACACTGGCAGCTGATTATCTAGATAAAAGTAATGCCTTTTGCTGCAAGAGGTTGTGTGTGCACTTGGTAAAAATGCAGGGGAATCTCAAGAATGATCAAGAACCAAGTCAAGGAAGGCAGGGACTGAACCAAACTGTTGTCCAGACCATTATGCATGCACACTACCCAGTAACTGACATGACCAGGCACAATATACCAGTTTCCATCAAGTGTTTTGGCTCTAGTGCTGAAAGATGTGTCTCATATCGTGAGGCTCAGTGGTGGAGTGTCCAATCAAGGTGGAAAAGCGACAGAATGCATACAGCCCACAATTTCCAGGTGCACCCCAAATCCAATGCTCAATGACGTTGCGCTTTGTCCTATCTCGGCGTTGATGGAGAGTGTTGTGCCAGCCTCGCCAGGCGAGAACGGTCGCTAAACTAGTCTGCCCAATGGGAAGCTTGGGAGCTGTCAGGGTGCCACCCCACTGTACACCTGTCGTCTGGAAGGAGACATGGTAGCCTTTCGAGCTCAAGCAACACTGGGCTCTTTAAACCCTGTTCACGATCACTGCATGCGACGACTACCGACGCCAGCTTGATTCTCCAAGGCTAGGCAGCGATGCGATACCGTCCTTACAAGACCATAAGAACAGACTGATGTACTCACTCGTTCAATCAACGCCAATTCTCAGCAATCATGGCCCTTGAGCCTGGCTCTGGCCGTCGGTCTGTCTCCCCAGAGAGCTCAGGCCGCGAGTCTCCCCTTCCACGTCAATGGAGAAACCAGCTCGGAGCTGGTAAGCGATTTGTCTTTGAATTTGGGAAGACTTTATGTATTGATTTAATGTGATAGAGGAAGCACCGACCAAGGACAAGCATTACCGCAAATACGCCTCTGGTGTTGAAAGGGCCCTTACTCTGTTTGAAACGGCCTTGCAGGAATGGGCTGACTACATTTCCTTCCTGAATCGCCTCCTCAAGGTAAGAGTCTTTTTCACGATGGCGAACCGATGTCCAAAACGACGAGAGACTGATCGTACTCATCAGGCACTGCAAGCCCGACACCCGTCGGTCACGACTATCCCTTCGAAAGCCATCGTCGCGAAACGCCTGTCGCAATGTCTCAACCCCTCCCTCCCGTCCGGCGTGCACCAAAAAGCACTCGAAGTCTACAGCTACATATTCGCAACCATAGGCACTGATGGGCTATCCAAGGATTTACCATTGTACTTCCCTGGCCTGGCGTCGACTCTTTCGTTTGCCTCTCTATCCGTCCGATCCCCCTTTCTCGACATTCTTGAACGCCACTTTTTAGACATAGACCCCCGGTCTCTTCGACCAGCCATGAAATCAGTTGTTCTGGCCCTTTTACCTGGCCTCGAGGACGAAACTAGCGAGGACTTTGAACGAACGTTGCGATTGATGGAGAGCTTCAAGACCGCGATCCGACCCGCAGGCAGCGACGAATTGGATGGACCACATTCATCAGGAGATGACTTTTTCTGGCAATGCTTCTTCTTGGCCTCTATCACAGGATCAAGTCGGAGAGCCGGGGCGCTAGCATACCTTGTGAGGAACCTGCCCAAATTAGGCGAAACCTCTTTACCAGGGAAACCAGGCAAGAATGGCGTCCAGGAAGACGAGCATTCTGCAAAACTCGCACAAATGGTCACCTCTCCAGAACCTGGATTGCTTTTACGTTGCTTTGCTGCTGGGCTTGCAGACGAGCAACTCCTCATTCAGCGAGGATTCCTAGATCTCTTGGTCACCCACCTTCCCTTGCACTCCAAGGTGTTGCAGACGAATGTCAAACCAGGCGACTTGGAGCTTCTTTTGCGTGCGGCGGCTGGTGTTGTCATCCGGAGAGATATGAGTCTTAACCGAAGGCTTTGGGCATGGTTCCTAGGCCCGGACCCTGGACCCGGGGAAAGTGAGAGCGGTATCGAGTCTCCATCTTCCACGGACCATCACAACTCCTACTTTGCGTCTAAGACAAGTTACTTTGAAGACCATGGGCTCCAGCCTTTAACCAGGGCGCTGTTGAGCATGATCAATGTCGACCGCGATTCAAGCCCAGCAGAGAGAGCGAGACCTTACAGAATATGCTTGTCGCTCATGGATCGATGGGAAATTGGCGGGCTGGTAGTTCCTGAGGTTTTCCTTCCGATTGTCAACAGCGTCCGGCAGTACAGAGACCATGCACCCAGCAAAGCTGACTTCAACGAAGTCTTCCGCAGCGCCAGCGTGTTCTTCGATGGTGTCGAGAGCGGTCTGATTTACGGCGAGATTGTCAGTCTCTTAGCGCAGGCTATAGGACCAGGAAACCTTGCAGAAAAAGAACGGCTCGACAAGTTGGATTTGGTCAATTTCATCCTGGCAAACTTCAATGTCCGCGAGGAGGAAATGATCACTATTCATGCGCCTCTTACAGCTCTCTCGATTATCTGCATGCTAGAGGACACAAGAGAAAGACAGCAGAACTCTCCCATAAAGTCGTCGCAAAAGACTGCCGACGAGGCATTGCACATTGCTCTAGCTGTGTTGGACCTTATTCCGGATCGAGCCTTCCCGTCTTCAGATAGCAGCAAGTCCAAGAGGACAATGGAGGCCGGTGTTCTGGCCTCACTTCCTGCCGTCGAACTTTTGAAACGAATCAAGGCATTCTATATCGACGAGCAAGGAAATCTCGATGCCGTCCATGTTCCACTCTCGCCTATCGAGGTTGGAGAATTGCTGTTGCAAAAGTCTGGCTTGCTGGTCTGCGAAGGATTGAAGAACCCCGAAGCAGGGTCCGAACTAGGCGCCAAAGGGAGGATTCTGACCGCCCTACTACTCAAAGTGCCGACTACGTACCAGCTTGACACGACGTCCCTCCTCTCTTGTCTTCACGAGCGTTTGAATCACACAAGCACATTATCTTTCACCTCCTTCAACTCAATTCTGTACCTCTCCGCCCATCTCTACTCTGCAGAGCGCATAGAGGTGCCAAACCTAACCGAACTTGTCACGCCACTCGTCCAACAAGCTTGGGAGTTTCTGTCAGCTTCAGAACCAAAGTACCACGTCGAGACTGTTAGATCATTGTGGCAGCTTCAGACTGCTCTCACATCACATAATCGAGATATAGAGGCTGCCTTGGCCAGCCTTATTATCAAGAATGACGTTCAGGGGTCCTTCGCATCACGTCCCGCCGATGCTGGCCGCAGATTCAGCGTGCTTTGGTCTCATACGTTGCAGGATTCCAGTGCTGAAAGGCGAGGTTCAAAAACACCCATGACCGAGAAGCCTCCACAGATCCGGCTGGCTGGGTCAGAGAACTACGATGTCATGTTGACGCGACCTCTCTTTCTCATGCTCGATGCCCTTTTGGATGAACGAACCCAGTTGTTCATGACTGTCAAGGGATGGCTGAATAGTTTGGTTGGTATCGATAAGTAGGTTTGCCCGTCTTTAGAGGCATTGACCCAGAGTGTTTACTGACGACGATAGACTCTTCTTGCTTTTCGTGAGGAAGTTTTCTGCATTAGAATCCCTTAGAGCGAGTAACGAAATTGGATCGGCATCAACTTCGACCAATTCAACGACGTTCACGGCTGAAGACGATCTGGATCTTTGCCTTTACTACCTGAGAACTCTGTCGAATGTTTTCCGATGGGCGCCAGACGTGATCTGGGCTGTTTTGGCTTCTACAACGATCACCGTGGATGACGGGCATCCGGATGTCGCGCAGATGAGTAAGTAGGAAATCCTGACTGAAGGTACCTGATGCTAACCCGTAACAGCTGGTCATGAAGGTGACATCTCAATGCAAGAGGTATTCATCCACGTTTGTCTACGGTGCATCGCTGGCAACAACGAACCTGCAGACGAAACCATCCGAGTCCGAGCAACTCAACTTCATCGCTATGCCTTGACCGTCATGCACCAAATTCTCCTGAACCCCTACGCGGAACCCCTGGGAAGCCTCCATCTCGAGAATGTTCTCATCGAGCGTCTCCTCCAGTCGCTCGCTGGACCCGACCCCTATGTTCAGGTTCTTCTGCTGGACGTCGTGTTCGATGCACTGAAACTCCGAGACATCATCATTTCCGATGTACCTGCTTCTCCGTCATCGGAGAAGAGAAAGCTGAGTCTTGAACCGAGCAAGAGCCTTAGAGTATCGACACAGTCAGAGGCCAAGCCGACGTCACCGCCTCCCAACTTGCTCAAGTGTCTCCAGGCTGGCTTAAGCTCTCCCAGCAGTCGCAGTGTTCTCGACAGTTGGGTCAGCTTCTTGACGGAATGCTTACCGTTCTACTCCGATACCATCTTCCAGGTTCTCATTCCTCTTGTGGAGACTTTATGTAGACAAGTCTCCAACACTTTCAGTGACTTACAATCCATATTCCGAGACAACGGCAATTCAAAGAAGGATGACCGGAATGCGCCAGAGTCTACACTGATCTCGTTACTCAACGCTTTGGAGCAAGTACTGGCCCGGGCACACGAG